CGACCACGCCCCCATCTGGCAGCGACTGGCTACGAGGAGACGTTCGCCCCGCCCCGAAGGTAGGGATTCCTGACCTCATTACTATGTAGCGATAGGCGTGGCCTCCAGCAAGCGCCACGCCCCCTCCGCGCGGTACTCTACTAGCCTGAGAGGGTCGCTAAGCGCGGCTCGGCGCTGGGCAAGCCCATCTTCTGCTGTTACACTGGGCAACCTGGGGTTTACCATCCGAGGCGGCAGCCGCCAGCCCCTTGGCCTGTCTGCCAAGTAGGGGAAGGGTCCGCGCGCGATACCTCCTTGGCCTGGGACAACCTCCGGGGTTTCGGCACCGGTCAGCCCAGCCTGTGGGACACCTCTTTGTTTGCGAGGCTGCCCCCACCCCCACCAGGCTAGGATGGGACCGCGGTGCGCACGTGCGCGCGCCCTGCTTCGCTCTGAACCAGCGGCACCGAGCTGTGCTCTCTGCTCCTGGGGTTGCTGCGGGTGGGAACTAGGATCTAAGTGGCCCCACTAGACCCCAGGGCAGAGGGTTCCGGCCACTACACTGGCGGTGTAGGCTAGGTGAAAACTACCTTTGCTGGCACGCCTCCCGGTCCGCCAGGTCTCCCGTCTTCATTGTGTCAGCACACCTTTCCGCTCTGGAGACCTCAGCCGCCCTGTATCAAGGTAACGTCGGACTTCTGCTAGAAAACGCGTGTAATTGTGGGACCAGCCTCACAATATAGGTAGTCTATTTACGAGGTGCCAACCATTTCCGTCGGCGCTTTACTCCAAGAGCTTAAGGAAAGGGCAAGTTATACCCTAATGCGAAAGCACATCATTTGTGTGATCATGAACGTTTTCTGGAATGGCCCACCAAGGACACATCCCTGTATTAAGTACATACACAGCAGTGATGAAGGGCAGCTCAGCTCGCACCCACCTCCGCCAGGGCCCCAAACAGGGAACTATTGCTGGAAGATGGCTGAGGTGGATCAAGTAATGAAGAAGGGGGATAAAATTCTTAATATGGCTTCATGGTTCCACAGACACCATGAAGCCACATGCAAAATGCTGTGTAGCTGCAGAATACGTTTTTCAGAGAATTTTGTGCAACTGGGCAGGTGCCAGGGTGAGACAAGTGGAAATACAAGTAGGCACCAAAAAACTCATTAATCAAGACTGCCAACATAATTTGCAAGGCCCATTTCAAAAAGGAAATGCAGGGTCCCTTGTTCAGAAAATCAGTGAGAATTTCAAGACAGCAACAGTAGAGCACTAAAGGAAGGGACGCTGTAACTATGATGGTCCCAGGTTTTGAGGCCAGCCTCAGCCCCTCCTACCTCATCGTAGTCTGGACCTAGTCTGGAGCTTTCATTTGGTTCTGATTGGGGAGGACCTGGGTGTCTGCCATCACCCAGGAGCCCAGTACACGCTGCTGCTGCTGCTGCAGCTGCTGCTGCAAAGTCTAGAGGCCACCTGAGGCCCAGGTTCAGTCACCCCATCCTCTGGCCTCAGAGCTCTTTCTTATTGCCCACCAGGAGACTTCTCTGGCTGCTGCATCTTTCATTCCCCATCTTATCCTGTCCTCCTTTTTACCCAATGTCTCTGGAAAATAGAGGCTGAAAGTGCCATCTGTAATCATCTCCTCCTGGGAATGGGCCCAGACTTGATGAGACTTAACACTCACATATTTGGGAGCCCTTCCTTATTTCCTTTCTTCCTTCCTTCCTCCCTCCCTCCCTTCCTCTGAAAGTTTACATAGCAATTCACTTTCCATACAGCAGCTCACATACACTTTGTCTCATGATAGTGACTACAGTTTTCCCCAATGCAACAGCTCCCCTCCCACTTCCTCCGCATAGTTACCTCTTCCCTATGTCCTTCCATCCATGCACTCCTACCCCCTGAGCTGTCTCTCTCTGCATACACAGCCTTTCTGTTCTCCCATGATTGTTCTCTCCAAGGAGTGTATCTGTCTAATGTAAATGTTCAGTTCATATGCCTGTCCTTTGTTTGGCTGGAAGCCACCGGAGTGAGTTCAATTCCAGACCTGAAGGGCAGCTAAGGTCCATAGTCTCAGTGGTTCCATCAGGCGCTATCAGACCAGCAAACCTGGTCTTCCCCCTTTTTTTTCCTTTAATGATTTTGAGTTTTGTTCCACATTGTTGTCCCACTCTGTCCAGGATCTCCTACATAGATCCTTGGGGGCTCTTTTTAAGAAACAAAATTCATAATTAGTTATGGGGCCACTCTTACTAGTTCACTCTTTTCTCTATGAATCCACCTTTGCTTCTACCACACCTGTAAGAACTCACAGGGCCTCCTTGCTATTGTCGAACACCAGCTGGCTTCAATTAAAAAAAAGTTATTGGTACATTTTAATTCAAATAACTAGTCATTCCATCTGCTCTCTTTCTAGTATCTTTCTGAAAGATTTCTTACTATTTTCCCAAGGACCATGTTTAGTTTTATGAAATAAAAAGCCACATGTAATTGTTTATAGAAATGTTAGCTACCATCAAGTTGACCCCAACTCATGGGGACCTCATGCACAACAGAGGGAAACTGCCCAGTGCTGTGGTTGTGGACCTCTGCTGAAACCTGTTCAGCATCCCAGCAACACACAAGCCTCCTGATGGGTGGTAGCTGTTCATCAGTTATAACCCAAAACCATACCAAACCCACTGCCATCAAGTTGATCCTGACTTACAGCAACCCTATAGGACAGAGTAGAACTGCCCCTTGGGGTTTCCAGGGCTGTAAATCTCTTTGGAAGCAGACTACCACAACTTTCTCTCACAGAGTGCCTGTTAAGTTTGAACTACCAACGTTTCAGTTAGCGGCCAAGCACATAATCACCGCGCCATCAAGGCTCCTCATTAACAGAGGGGGTATTTTTATTTATTTATTTATTGTGATTTGGGTGAAGATTTACAGAGCAAATTCACTTTCTATACAGCAGTTCACATGTACTTTGTCTCATGTCATTGACCACAGTTCACCACAATGCAACAGCTCCCCTCCCACTTCCTCCCCATAGTTACCACTTCCCAGTGTCTGTCCCTCCATACTCTCCTGCCCCCTGAGCTGTCTCCCTGTGCATAAGCAGCCCTTCCTTCTCCCATGATTGTTCTCTCCAGGGCGTGTGTCTACTTGAGGTAAATGTTTAATTCACATGCCTGTACTTTGTTTGGCTGGAAACCACAGGTGTGGGTTTAATTCCAGACCTGAAGGGCAGCTAGGGGCCGTAGGCTCAGTGGTTCCACCAGGCTCTATTGGACCAGCAAACCTGGTCCCAACCATCTTTTTATTTTTCCCAGAGGGGGTATTTTAATCAACTCTGTGTGTTTGATGAATATTTGTTGACAGCGTGAGTAAGCGCCTCTGGGGAAACAGAAAAGGTAAGTGTCTTAGTTTGCTAAAACTGCTGCAACAACAGAAAATCTCGCAAGTGGTGAATTCAAAGAACAGACATTTATTTCTCACAGTTCAGGAGCTAGAAGTCTGAATTCAGGATGTAGCTCTAGGAGGAAGTCCTTTGTCTATTTCAGTGTCTTATGGGCACAGTCCTTCACATTCCTGGGCTTGCAGTTGCAGCTGCTCTGTGTGTCTGTCTCCATATGACACCTTTTTTCTCCCAGGTGATCTCTTCGTTGTTTCTGCTCTTTTTATAATCACTCAGAAGTGTCTAGGTTTCGGACTCATCTTACACCAGTGACTTCATTAACATAACAAAAGAAAACCCTCTTTCTGGCAGGGTCACATCCACAGATAAAAGGGGCCAGGAAATACATATTTTGTGGGGGAGACAATTCAATGAGTAACAGCAAGTAAATCAGTAACAGCAGGCACTGTGTGTGGCGCCACAATGGGGGAGGAGGGGACATAGTAAATGATATCGGACAGGAACGCAGATGACCATTTTGAGGGAAACCTCAGGAAAGGCAAAGTGCCAGCCCTACTGACTGCCCATTCCTGTCTCATGCTGGTGAGGGCATAAAGACTTTGACCTTGTCTGCAGAGCTGAGGATCCAGCGCACAGTGCCATTGGTGACCCTGACAGGGCCCAGTACCTCCATATGCTGCATCTCTGGGTTGAGTGCCTAACAGAGTTCTGAGAGTAAGGCTGTGGCTTGTCCTTGTCCTTAAAGGATGGTTAAGATCTGGAAAAGCTTAACATACACATACACACACACACACACACAACTATTGCCATTGAGTCGAGTCTGACTCATGGTGACCCTATGTATTACAGAATAGAACTGCCTCATTGGGTTTTGTTGGCTGTAATCTTTATGGAAGCAGATCATCAAGTCCTTCTTCTGCAGTGGTACGGGTAGGTTTGAACCGCCCGCCTTGAGGTTAGCTGTTGAGTGAAAACTGCACCATCCAGGGACCCTTTTGGATAGTCTTAGGGAAGTAAAATGATTAAAAACTATTTAGAAATAAGGGTTAGGTCTCTTTGTTCATCAAAATCTCAGTGCCCACACTACCCTCTTATTCATCCAGCTCCCATCACATCAGCTGCCCTGCTCCTCCTTGATGGAACTAGACCTGCTTCAGCCTCTGGGCCTTCCCACTGGGTGCAACACCCAGTATTTCTTTTTGCTTGTTCTAAATTTCCTTACTCCAGGAAATCTGGGTTTAATGGTCTAGAAAATCCTAATTTAAGAACACAGCTGCCCAGAAGAATTTTCAGGAGGAATCATAGGGACTGAGCTCTGGTCCAAGCAAATGCCCTGCTCAGTTTGGGAATTCCCATCATGCTCCTAACTGGAGAGCTGTGCTTCATGACCGG